GCCTGTGCACCCTTTAAGAAGACTCTCGAAATTCTTTTATCACCCGTCATCTTTCTATGTGCTGCGTGACTCTTTCTTAGGTCAGTTCTTTTTTTTTTTAAGATAAACTCCTAAGCGTTATCTTTCTTCTAACGCAAGAACGTTATTTGTTACAGTTCCACTGTTGCCCACCAATCGGAACTGCCTCCATCGCCTCATCAATGGGACCGACCCACAGGCGCGACAGTTCACAGATAACGCCCATCTCCTTCAAACAAATCTCTCTAAATCCGTATTAGGATGTTTTCCCTCGTTACATAGTTTGTAAGATTTAACTCTATACACCAAATATTAATCAGGGATTCTATGCAATGCAAAGACAAAAAAAAACAATGGCGCTGCAGCAAATGTGTGTGTTTTTGTGTAATATTTTTAGTCGCTCATTTAAAAAAATATTGCATTAAAAATGATTCAAAATGTGTAGTCTATTAATAATTTCATCGCTGTGTCGAAATTAATACTATTCAGTAAGTAATGATCAACAGTACAATATTGACATTGATTGTGGAAGGACAATTTTTTGAAATGTAAAACAGTCTCATGCATTTTAGTAACATTGAGATTATCATTACTTTCCGAATAACAAGTTGTTTAGAAAAAAAAAATCAAAAATAATATTTGGATAGAAAGCCTAATGTACAATACCGATGGACTGTCATTGCAAACGCAAAAAACAGTAGTTACGTATGCAGGATGCCCCTCAGAAACGTTTACGTACTTGAGCGGGACGCCCTACATATTAAATTGTAGATACAGTTGTACAGATGTCACTGCCTTGAGTAGAATAATAGGTAGATTAAACAGATAGAGTATTTGATTTTTTTTTAAGACTGGCAGAATTTCGTTTGAGATCGAAGCAGTTTTTCCTTTTCAGAGTTGGATGCGCCCTACCTTCTCCACTAAACTTGATTAGGCTGCTCAGAGCTAATTTGTTTTTTTTTTACTTCTTATTTTTTATAAGTAATAACAATTACAATGCTGTGATAAATGAATAGAACAATTAGTAATGAGAAAAAATATTTTTACTTTGTATCTTTTAGACAGCCAAATCAAGTATCTTGTGAACTTTTTAAAAGTAAAATATATGTGGTATTTTACTTCGGCTCGAATTTGACCTAAAACTAAAATTACTTTTTGTTTAAAGTAATATCTAAACTGTTACTTACAAACCAATAGTACAGTATTCTATTCAAAATGTAACTTATTCAGTCAGTTACCATAAGATTTGCAGCAAATCTTATTCCATTGCAGTACCATAGGAAGGTCTGATGTGTTATGTTTATATTAGAATTTTCGTAATGCGAAAAGCTTGTAGTAGATAAATAAAGAAATTATTTTTATATTAGATTAAAATTTTACAAATATTAAAATAAAACAATAACTTTTTATTTTTTAAAATCTATGTATCTCAAATTGGCATGGAACTTTGCTAAGCGGCTTGATAATGTTTGTTTGGAAAAGACTCGACCTAAACATGTTAGACCTTCTCCAAATTTGAATCAGGAAAAACTGCAAAGAGGTCCGCCAAGTTTTGCAGACTCTGGTAGTTAAGGAGTAAGACTAATATAAGTTAAAGACTGTGAATAGATTAGCTATTATAGAAATAATACAAATCTGCAGCTCTATTTAAGATACCTATAGATAAAAATCAACAAAAAAAAATTGCCAACTCTACGAAGTAGTTTAGTGTCTTCAGTGTGGTTAAATATGTGTGCAATGAGGTAAAATAGAGACTGTGAACATATTTGTTTAAATAGTTAATTTTTATTTTAATCCAATTGTAAATAATTTTAAATGATAATTGTGTATTACTCCTAGAAAATTTTATTTAAGGTTTTGTTTATGTACATGAAACTAACTACTTCATAACTATTGACAGAGAAATGGTGTTCCCATTACCAGCAACCCTAATTGTTCGCAGGTACTGCGGATGATTTGTCCGACTGCTATTTTATTTGCCAAATAGCGACCAATATTATTGACTGGCAAATTAAGAAATATTTTTTACCGATGCCTTTGGTATTAGGATATTTTTGTAAATAATTTGATTACTCCGCTAGGTTTAACGTTCTGCATAAAAATGTTTTTCTGAATTATTTATCCCCCTTTCCTAATTTTTAAAATTTCACTTTATACATGCTTAATGTCTTTTCTTCTTTGGAATGCCTTTTAAGATTATTGTAATTATATTCCATTGATTTTTCCAGCGATCTCAGTGATATGCATGTAAATAGTAAAAGTGTACTTTTTTCAATTAATGGTCAGTCTGTGTTTACTTAGTATACTCCAATATGAAAAGAATAAAATGGACAACCTATACCTGTAGTTTTGTTCTGAAAAATACCTATTAACGTATCTAATAAAAAAAATAAATAACGAGTGCCAATGGAATCAAAGCGGTCAAGAAGAGCTACTTCAAAGTTGTGTGGATGCGATTATTTGGGAGCTGCGATGAATGATGAATAGTAAAATGCAGGGTGCCTGTATGAGCGTTAAAAACCAATTTTTAGAAATAACAAATCTTAAAATATATCTCATATTTTATTATTTGGGTAACAAAACCTCAGTTTTGCATTTCTTGATCAATATTTATTGTTTGTCATTTTACAACTTAAACATTATAAAACACAAAAAAAACGTAAATCTATACACATTGCTAAAATATACTAACTGAAAATTAAGACTAGAGCTTCAACGCTTCGATGTGCTTCAAAAAACACTGATTCTTCAATTAAAACTTTAAATAAAAAAAGTATGTTCCTTGTCAGTTGCAATAAAAAAATCTTTTGTTGTTATAAAAGTGCCGAAAAATTGTTTAGATTATTCCTTAAATTTTTAAACAGAATCAGAAAGATTTTCAATTTTGGAACTATTACGAAATTTCCACACAAGTCCGTAGAGAATATCGGAATATTATGGGTCCTGGTCAGTTTGTCAGATAAAGCCAAACGGTAGGTTTGGTATATCTATGCCATGGTATTAATTTCGATACCTAAAATTTGATTGTGAATGTTCAATTTGGATGGGCGATTTCTCGAATCTCGAACAGGACACGTCACATACGAGAGGTTGTTGTCATACTGACATATCTCGCAAATGACATGCCCTGTTGGAGATAAACCCCTCCCTGGTACTTGGTAAAAATTAATTTTCTCTAGTTTAAAATTGACTTATGCAGTTATTAACCGGATGTGTGATCAAATACTCTTTGTATACAACATAATATCTATGTTGATGTATATCAAAAATTCGTGAAGTTTGGACTAACATATTTATAACAAACTTCACAAAAGGGCCTTGAAACTACTTTCAAAGAGGCATATACAGTAACATCTCTCATACATCACTCAATGGTTAACCTCATTATAAGAAGGACTTAATGCTTCATAGTCACTGGAGTTGCTGAACCTTGAGAAGCGTGGCTTACATCAATTATTGGTTAGTGAGATTTTCAAAAATATAACCTTTGCAGCAATGTTTAAAACACGTTGTTTTAAACTGAAACTTTGTTATTTACTGTAATATTAGTAAAAATATTTTCTATAATTAACACTGGTAATAAAGATAACTTTTAAGGGAATTTTGCCTATAGGTGTACAGGAACATTTCATGACATTGTACGAATAGCATCTGTTCTCACTATACCAAATAATAAATATATTGCAGAATCCAGCGCCACAAAAATGAAGTATCTTTCAATATTCGACCATCTACAATATTTACACTAATCAACGCACGCATGGAAACTACAAGAATGAATTACAGTCGCGATGTAATTAAAGTACACTATAATACAAAGTTAACATAGGGATTCACACTCTTATCTCACTTTATCACTGGTGTGTATGACCTTAGCCACAAAGAATCCAAGGGCAGTGACAGCTGCCAGACTAAGCCCAGCTTTCCACCACACAGTCAAATCGTTTGTTATTACTCCAAACTCTCGGAAATTCCTAACAAAAAAAGTAAACTTTGTTTTAGATCACCTTGTAACAAAATGTTTATAGCGTTCTGCAAGAGTGTGTCGGGAATGTATAAAAAATAGCCCTTAGATTATTTCCTTAAATAAAGGCTAAAAAGTACGGCGCATTCGACATACTGGGTGTTTCAAATTGAACTCTCGAAGGACTTCTGGAAATATGACAAAAATAATTTATTATCAACGAATTTTTTGTAGAATGTAAAAATCCCTTACGACCTTTTGATGAAATGATTATCAATTTATTTAGTTTCTTATTGCGACATCATTTTTTTTTTTAGATTTATTAAAACTAGTTTAATAACCAATAGTAATAATCGGTTATTCATTTAAATTTATGTATTTTTGAAACACGAGACAAAGTTTGAGTTAACTCGAGTTAAAAATAACGTTAAAAAAATAAGTTTTCCCTAACGTACTTTCTATTTATATATATTTTATAATAATACACCCAAAAACTTGTCCCCCGCACCAACAAGCCATTTAAAGCTGCCCGACACACTATTGTGCAGAATTTTATTGCGCAAATTGCATATAAAATGATATAGAAAACATGCGGTTAAATTTACAGTTACACTGGCACAATATAGGGGATCCAAATAGTATGACAAAGTAATAAAACTCGTTTATTATTTGTTTTAGACAAAAATGTTAAATCCAAAAGTTACAGATGAGACTAAAGGAGACAATTTAAAATTATTTTCAAATATACAGGGTGATTCATAAATAGTTCGTAACTTGATCCGCATGACGGCCAGGAGCTTAATCATGAAGGTACCACATTATCTGCCTTCGTTTGAACTAGTCCTTAAGATATTTTGCAACCTTGGCTTTAAAAAGTCTAAGTAAACTTTCCCAGTCACTATATTTTTTAAAAAATTAGGCCCTATAATGTTATTTCCTATTTATAAACCACCCCAAACACTTAAAGGCCATTTTAAAATGGGAACTATTATTACCATAATGCCGGTTTCATGGAATGTCGATTCATCCGTAAATAACACATTCGAAAAATTCTTGTGCACATTCACAAAATGTTTATTTAATTTGATAATCATTTTCATTGACTTCTTAATGAAATTGCACATGATAAGGATGCATCTTATTTTTTCACAGAATAATATTCATAGAACTCTTAGAAATTATTAAGTATCGTGTGCGTTTCCTATGACACTAATTTTCTTTATTTTCCTTATTCAATACAGTCTTGATTCTTTCATTTCTTTCATAAGCAACACTTCCAGTTGAAGTGAAACGATTGATCAAATTCTCAAGAGTTCTTTTAGGGGGCTGCCTTCTATCGGGATAGTGTTGCTTGCAAATTCTCATAGATAATAATGCATTTCTTCCATTGAAAAATTTATGGTTGAGTTTCAAGTTAAGCAACTAACAAAGTTTCAAATAATTATTTATTTGCATGACCAACCTACATTTGCATGGCAAACAAGGATTGGCACGGCCAACTTACATTTGAGCTAAAAGACGCGACATGAAAACATTGTTCATAGTTCAATAATATGTTGGGCTTTAGAAAAAGAATTTCTAAAGAAAGGAAACATTGTTTTCACAAAATTAAACATTTACCTATTTGTTATTATTTTTCTTGGCTTATTGTGATATTTTGTCATAATTTGACAAATTTTCGGAGTTTTGTTCGTAAAAATCTGTATACCTCACAAAATACTTTGTTTATGTATAGGAAATACTTAACAAGATTGAAAAAGCATTAATAGGAGTAATTAATGGAAGGATTTTTTTCACGAAAATTAATATTTTTCCTTTTGAGTCACCCTGTATAAACGATTGGAATTAACTTCAAGGCTAAGACTGTACTACTGTATAAAATTGTTGGCAAAATAAAATCAGTTGTCGGAAATGTCGTTAAAAATATAGAGTGTTAAACACTGAGCATTTTGACGAAAAAATGCCACTAGATATACACCATACCAACCCTACATTGTGTGATTGAGTATAGATGCAATAATATCCTGTAGTGTTCCATTTAAAAATATATACATTTGGTTTCACACCGATTTATCAATCACCCTATATATTTGAAATTTTTGAAATTATTTCCTTTAGCTTTATTTATAGCTTTTGTGTTTAACATATTTTTCTAAAACAAATTATAAATGAGATATATTACTTTGATACGCTATTTGTACACCCTGTATAAACTTGAATGAAACTAAAGGTATAATGAATTCAAGAATATTGCGCAATATATAAAATTGTTAGAATCAAATTTACCTTTATTAAAAAATTAGGTTAATTCTAGGTTTCAATAATTAATTTAGTGGGGAGAGACCAATAAGAGAATATATCCAAAGGAAGCATGAATACCTGATGTCCCATTTATATATATTATGTCCCTAGAAGGGCACATAACTATCAATTCACGTTTTTTCAAACTTTTCTTAATCAGTTCGATGTCAACGCTGCTTATCATTCTAATACCATGCTTATTATAATATTTATAGTTTTGGTTAGTTTTGAGAATGAAAGAAACATTGAAGGGGCGATCAGAAATATATATTGTCTTGATGTGAAAATAATAACTGCTAAATTGGATCCACACTTCAGTATTTAAATGGGACCACAAGCAAATCAAATCACTAAAAATAACGATTATAAAGCATCGGTCTAATGACGACTAAATAAACTAGGTTAGAATAATGCCTGACTTCAGTTGCTACAGTGGTTATAATAACAAAAAAATAAAAAAAAGTTAACAAGGTAACAGGACAAAATGCCTATAGAGTTGGAGGTGATGCATTGGTTAACTGGCGACGAAAAAAAATATATTGTTAGGTATCCACACACAGGCATTATGAACAAGTAATAAACGTACACAATAATATATAAGCGACAAGTTCATTCGAGGTAGAATCAATAGACCTATTATTAAAACACTAGTCTTTCATGCCCAAGCAATAATATTCTCTAGCAACATTCAATTATCAGGCAAAGGTAAGCTAATATTTTGTATTAAACGAGACAAAACAATCAAGGCAGGAATTCCCAACATAACAAAGAATATAAACTCTATGTGTACTGTCTTAACCTGCAAAATTGGTACAACCATTCTGATGGTTGAGGACGCAACAACAGCATGTGTACCATGCGGCGCAAGGGACTGAAAAACAGAAAAACATCAATAAGGAAAAGCTAAACAAAATGGTACACGAATCGCGAATCTTACAGTCTATATGAGAAAAAAAAAAAATATATATATATATATATATATATATATATATATATATATATATATATATATATATATATATATATATATATATATATATATATATATGAATGACATCATTTTTCACTTATAATAATAAAAAAATTATATCAACAAATTTCGCTAATGAAATATGCATCCGATTTTTAGCATTTTACAACACTTGATCACATTAATGACAGAAATAATTTTCTTCTACTCAAAATTAACGAAACTCAAACAAGAATTATTAAAATTAAGAAAATTAAAATAAAACATGAGCAATGGTGGTGATATAGTAAAGTCTCTGACAAACCTTCTCTTGTAAAACAACATCCAGGCTGCTTGAAACCGACTAACAAAATACATGTCAAAATATAGATAGATACAATAAAACAACAATTTTGATGTATTGGAAGATGAATGAAATTAATTTAATCGCACGCGGGCATAATACGAAATTTACCAGTATAAGTAAAACATAATACTACATAAAAGCATGATGCAGGTTCTTAAAATATTTTGTTCTAATTATAGAATGTCAAATTCATATAGATATAAATTCAGCTTTTCAAAATTTGATATTTTAATCATAAAGCAGAAATATGGTATGCTAACAAACTTACGGGAATGCGGCCATTGTTGCTAACTTGACAAAAACATCTTTTCTGTACTGCTCCTTCACGCTAAATCTCTGTGGCGGAAGAATTTTGTATTTCTGACAAAAACTAGCTGGCTGCAAGAGATAATCCTGTCGTATTTCTTCCAGGTCATCTTTACAAGCCACAACCAATACAGGGATCTTGCTTTCAGCAAAATACTTCTAAAATTCAATAATGGTATTATTATTAGTTATTTGGTGAGACAGTCGAATCAGTAAGAACTCCAAGGACTTACAATGTATATCCTAGCGACGTATTCAAAAGATTTTGGATTATTGATATCATATATCAAACAAGCAACATCACACTGAACTTCATGAGGTAGCAGAGGATCTGACATGTTACGGACATTTAGGTCTTTGAGCACCAATATCTTTTCTTGTCCATACACCTGCACTGTATTTACTGTACAATTTGGAGTGCCACATTTGTCTACCAACAAATCTTTAACCTACAAAATAGAATCAAAAAGTAAAAAGCACCTAACAATAAGAAGGCACAATTATTATATTAAAGCATTAGACACTCAAATACAGATAAGCAGAAATACAGAAAAGCAGAGACTGAAACTGATTGTAGGATATTGAAAGAGTGTGTTAATAATTTATTAAAGTGGTCAGAAGATAATCTGTCAAAGAAGATTTTAATGTCAAAAACAGTACCTCTACGTCATTTACGTATGTAAAAAAAAAACAAGTATTTGATTGATGATTGATTAAAGATTATTTAATGTACAATGAATGATTCTTAATTAGAAATGCAAAAAAATTCAAACTAGCGCAGTCTAACCTTGATTATGGTAGAATAATTTAGTCGCCTTTTTATACTAAAGGTGTACAAATGGTTGAAAATTCAAAAAAATGTCCTGAAATTTGCCAACTATATTCTAACAAGAGAATCTGATGCTTATGTCAACAATATAGAATGTTATAAAATGTTAACAACTGCACAACAGAAGAGTCGTTACTAAGTTACTGCATTTTTTTAAATCGCTAACAATATAACTTGGACAATGCAACATTGGGTTGATTATATTTAAGTGTTCCAAATAAAGCACAGCTTACAAGACCTTTACCCCAGTCATGATAATGATTAACATCTTATAATCAATAGCAAATTTTGCAAAATTAGTAGAAAATTTATTTCAGAATGTTGCCAGTGTAATTGATGGAGTAAGTTTTCAGGCACAAGTGAGTTTTTAAGTTACTTTGAAGGCAATTACAACATGTTATTGGGTACTGAGCAAATAATAATGAGGACTTTTCTGCTGTTCAAAATATTCGACAACTACTTACATCTCCCGTGCCTTTGATAAAGCTTCTACAGAATGCCGATTTTCCAGATCCTGTTGGGCCAATAACGTGACACTGATAAACGTTTCTTGTCGACTGTTTTTTTGCCAAATCCAATTTTTTTTCTCTAGTTACTGAAATACGTTAATAAAGAAAATTATTTAAAAGGGAGAAGTAAATTAATAAATTGAATTTAATCTATAGTGGATATTTCTAAAACTAAAACTTATGGCTTTCAATTTTAACTTATTTAAAAATTCACTATCATAGAATCTGTTTGACCTTCAATTCTTCTCTAGTCAAAAACACTTATTCTTTCCATCATACATTATAAATTTTATTTATCGTTTAATTAATCGAAAAAGTGGGTAGAACTTTTGACTTTAACTGTATCTTTTATTGCGGTTTGCGAATATTATTTAAGCAACCTATCAAAACATACAGTAGAATTTCAACATTTTTGTAATGATTATTTTTATGATTTTTGTTTATTTCTGGAATGGAGGGATGGATTTTAAACGAAAGCAAAATATAGTTTTATTAAAGAAACTAACCTACAACTGCTGACACCTGATTTTCGTTTTCATATATATTATACCCTAGATATGCCAAATACTCAAATGTCCTAGGTAAATCCACCAGTGTCATCAATGCCCATTGACACATATAACCCTTATAGGTGATCCAACCCTTCTCATTTGTCTGTACCATGGAACTCACATCCAGTGGCCACGCTCGTGTGGGACATGTTGAAAATAACTCTTCATACTCACTAGGAGACAATGATTTATCACAGTCTTTATCATACCGTTCGAACAGATGGGTCAAAAATTGTTGGCCCCTATGTGACAGCTCTGTTGTACAACCTGACGGCACTTTTAAACTAAAATTTAAGTCAATTTTAAATATAGGTTTACTTTTATTTGACCACTCTGATTTACCTTGGGTATAAATAATCTTTAGACATGTTCAAATGGTCATTATAACCAAACTTTCTCAAAACAGTCCATGTCGTTTCATTTCGTCCTCTTTGGATAAACAGAGTATGCAGGTACAAAAAACCCTTTAGAGTGACACTATTTTGAAGGACCCCATCTTCAGTATTTTTCCGTAAAACTGCTTTAACATCGTCTAATACTTGGGGCTGAAGGGGGGCATTGAAACATCTGCTTTGGAAGTTGTTCAACTCAATATCATTTAAAAGGCCATCACAATCAATGTCACAAATCTTGAATATCCTTACTAACGCATTTTTGCAAGCATCAGTTAACTAAAAGAGAATCTTACAATCCGTATTTCAAAATTATTACAAACAATGACAATTAAACAATGTGAGTATCCCATTTTCGACACTTTTGGGACACTCTAAAAAAAGAAATATGCGGTTTTCGCACCATTGTGTATACAACTATCTATTTTTTCCAACTGCGTCATTCTCAGTCAAAGTAAAAAATAATGGCTTTAAAAAAAATTAAATAATCTCGAATAACCTTTTCATCCAAGCTTGTATACTTATCCTGAGAACGAAAAGAGACCTTGTACAAGATAAAGACGCTACACTAATATATAGGAGGTCGATTTTAAATCGCAAATCGCCCTCTTGCGCATTCTTATCTTAAACACACGGTATATTGTACTCACATCTGCATTTTCAATTGAGTATATTGGCGAAGTGGGATGAAGGACAGCCTTTTGTGCATAATAAAACATCTCAGAGATATTCTTAAGAGTTTTGGCGGAGCATTCTATACACGTTTCAATTTCTGAAAACTCCTCCATGATATCGTATATGCCCTTAAAGTAAATTTAAAATTGCCTAACAAACATTACAATTTTAAAATCGGATACTTAAAAACAAGTCCTCATATTTCCAAAAATGCTTTACTTTAAACGGGTTATGAAACTAAATAAGATAGTCCAAGAAATATGCTTATAATATTAAAATTTAAATTATTTTAAAACACTTTTTATCATAAGGTCAGTTTATGCTTCTGTAAGGCATATATAAAATACTTGACACACTCTTAAATTACTGTTGATAGAAAAACAAACAATAGCTATTTTAGTAGGTGCAACTTTAATATTAGACAAAAATTATAATCATCTAGTTTTTGAACCCATATGTTAAATAAAATAGATTAATGGAATGAAAATTATCATTATCTCTATTTTAAGAATAGTTTGCAAAAGATCCATTAATCCTCTAAATCTTTTGGTGCTGTTATTAATGTAATTTGCCAGCGCAATGCTTTTTTATACATGGTGTCAAAACAAATGCAAAAAACTGAAGGGGTGTTTCCTTGTTTAAAATAAAGAGCAGTTTGTTATATAAACATTAGATCGAAAGCCAACCATCTGGGAGATAATGCGCCACAAATATGGCGAAAAAATAATGTTTTTATTTTTTATCTTAAAAACGAAAATAGAACAATAAAATATTAGGGACCTATAACTATTACAAAAAAACACTTTCTGCATATTTCTTCATTTTTTATATGAGTGGAGGGGATTAAATTAGACTACCCCTATCATTGTCCTTAATTGAATTTGAAAAAATATGTATTAAATTTTAGATTTTATTTAGAAACTTTTACTGCTGCAATTTTTTCATAATACTTACGTTACAGAAAATTTTATTTGATTAAAAAAATCTAGTAGGCTGCTGTCACTTCTTAAGGGGTTCATTATTGCTTTATTTGACATTACTCAGTTGGGTTAAATACAAAATATGACTAATTGAATCAAAAATTTGTTATATTCCCCGGCAGACTCTTTCTACACTAACTACAAAAACTACATTTTTGTATTTCATTATGTGTTGCTAATCTGCTGTTTTTATTTGAGTTACATTGTTTCAATAAAATGTTTTTAAAGAAGGTATGTCAGAAATGTTTATTAATAAATTATTTATAGAATTTAACTCTTTATAAGATACAAAATACAACTGTTTAACAGCAACCAAGTAAATTATTTTTTATTTTATTTTATAAAAAACTGCAAGAAAGGATAGTCCAATTCAATCCCCTCCACTCATAAAAAAATATATATATATATACAGAATGTGTGTTTTATAATAGTAATAATTGCATATTTTATAAATCTATTTATTTTCTTGTTTAAGATTAAAAATAAGAGATATCTCCTTAAGGAATCACCCCCTTAAGTTTTCGCATTTGTTTTGAAACACCCTGTATATACAAAAAATGTTGGACACACATGCATGAGTTTCATTGGAAAATTAACCTTAATATTCCTCAACAAGTTACTTAGTGTGGTTCAATAAGAGATCTACTTTGACTACCAGATAATACATACAAAAGATATGCAGATAATTTTTAAAATTCAATAAAATATTTGGAATAAATAGATAACTTACATCAATAGTAGAGTATTCCACTAGGTCAATTTTATTGCCAACAAGAACAACAGGGCACTGAATATCAAAATGAATTTGTCTGATTAGAGGCATCCAGAATGAAGATATCCTCTCGATTGATTCATCATCATCAACAGCATAAACAACACATACAACACTAGCTCTTTTAATTTGTTCATGGAGGTCATCTTCGTTCTGATCAGCTAAGGAAAAATCAACAATGTTTGTTGGAACCTGCTCAGGAGTAACATCAGCTGGTATAGTTATTTCTTCTGCTTTAGTGGGAACATTTTCTGGAAATTCTTCACTTACAAGGGATAATATGAGAGAGGTTTTGCCTACACCCCTATCGCCAACCAGTAGAATGCGTACGGTACGTTTCAAATGAGACTTTACAACCATTTTTACTTCAGAAAACCTAAAAGTGTAGGTTAGATTTCACGTAAGTTCATTCACTATCTGTATTTTGTTATATTTGGAGACACACCAAAAACTTTATTATATGTAACGATATGTGGTTCAGAGTATAAATTATATCAGTATACCATTTTACCTGCAGAACTGAAAAACTGATTTAGTTCTTACCTTTGAAATTTATTTACATTAAATTTCTTTTTCAGGCAAGGCTGCAAAGTGCATCACTAAATTACAGTTTAAAACAAAACCACATAATTATTAAAAACTACCGACAACAAAAAAATTTCGATATTTTCCAATGATAAAATTTGCTCATGAAAATTGTCATCTTTTTTTACAAGTTCGGATTTTCAACAAAAACCGCGCAAGCGTGCGTTCACAAATAACACATGATCAAAACTAACATAATTTTCCGAGTTTTAAAATTAAGATTTTCGCAATGATCTCCTGCAGGGCACTTATTGTTCTTTATTCAATAATTAAAATCAGACCCATACATCGGTGTCCCACATAGAGTCTCCCGCCGCGTTTTTGGGACAATAAACAAAATTCTATAAATATGATTTTACCGTACTAATGTGTGTTCTATGACTCACAGATTTATATAACCAAGACGCATTGATTATAAAACTTCTGGTAAGTATTGGACTATTGTCACGGAATACTAAAGAGCGAATTATTTCCGCCAATTCAGTCACTAGAAAGCTCGAAAATTTTCATGTTTTTGTGAATATATGGATGCTATTATAGCTTTCATACGCTATATTTCTGGGACCTACTGGTATGAAATAATTATGGAAAAGCAAATATTAAATAATATTCATCTTTTCTAATTAGAGCTAAATTGAATCAGATCATGGAAAGGTTTATTTACAAAAAGACCCATAATAAAAAACTTCTACAATTTTTATTAAGCGCTTTCCTTAACTAATTACTCAATTATATTTTCATTTTCTTCTTTTTGGGTTTCACTGCCGCGAGAGGCCCCGGTATCTTGAAAACAGTGCTACAAAACATTCGAAATTTAGATGAACTCACAAACATTAAGCACCTTTGATACTGTATATTTATTAGTCCTTATAAATGTACTTACTGGCAAGTGGTGCAGATAGGACAAAATTTGCAAAAAACTAAAATAAGAGACAATAATTTTTTTTTTTTTTAAATGCAAGCCTTACTTGATAAACACACAGAACAAACAAATCCAATGTCAATCAATTCTCTATGGCAGAAGCAAGCTGCTCTATAATCCACCTTTACTGGAGGAGGAAGAACCAATTTTTCTCTAACTGGTGGTTCCGGCAAGAAAACCCACTGAGTTTTAAGAATAGAAAATTATTATAAAGAGTATACATAAGGAATCAAGTTCTTACCAATAAATATTGAAGTAAGCCTTGTAGTTGCGGCACCTTCAAATACAAGCCATTCGTTATGTCACACCCTTGTTGCAATAAGCTGAGATGTTGATCCAGAGCACAAACATCAATGACAGTATTTTGTTTTTGGGCGGTGAAAAATACATTCATATAATTCATGTATTGTGAGGCAGAATCACCACTGCCTGTTACAACTAACATTCGACAGTTGATCTAAAATCAGGAATATTCAAGCTAAGCTATTTCTTTCTTTGCGTTAATGTGATACTTTTGCTCCTGGAGGTTTTGTTCTTTGTGTTTTGGCAATAAAACACAATGCCATAGCCATGGCTCCTGCCAATAAGGATTCTGTAGCTATTGTTGAATTCTCAGTATTTAATAGACTACTTAAATTTTGTTTTGTTGTTTTCTCCACTGAGGTAAATGCCTCATATTGCCCGTCTATTTGCCGAATATCAAGTGGTTTTGTGGATCCTGGATATATAAATTTACTACAACATCCATGTCACTAAATGGGCATAGCAAATAATTACAAAACCAAAGGACTCCAGAATTATATAGAAAGTACCTGGTTTTTGAATGGCAGGCCATAATAGCTAACTTATTTGGCGCTTTCTGCATTAAATGTGAATTTGCGAACCCAATAACAGAATCCACAACATGAGTTAAAACATTGGGGTTTTCTCTTAACATTTTTTGGCCAGGGTTTGTATCTACAATTACAACCAGAATGCTTGTTTCATCAGTTGATGTGATGTCTGGATCTTTTTCTGTAGGTAATTCTAAATTATTCATTTCTATGCTTAAATTTTTCTCGCAATGTTGCTACTAGCATTGATATTAATTCTGTTTTTATGGAACTTATTTACTCACAGACCACACAGGACGCAGACGTTGGTAAGGGTATGCGGCATAGAATTAGAGTATTAACTTCATGGAGTCCATATGTAAGGTTCTGAATTCCATTGATTCAGAGGCGAGTTTAGTTTCAAATGTTTAAGATATTATCGCGTCGTTGATGGACATTTATGTTCTTTCTTATGATCAATGTAACGCCACGTGGTTAGGCCACCAGTTACGCATATATTCTGTGTTGGCATGGCCCTACCGATTTGGTTCAGCTGTGCGGCGAAGTCAGCATTCCGTGATAATAGGTGCAGTATGCTTTTTACATTCTAACTACACATTTTACAAACGCCAGATTAACGACATTTTTTTTCAACTATTTTTGCGCACTTTTGTTTATATCGGTATCTCCGGTAACAATACAAACAACATATAACACGGCCAGACGACAAATATATCAATATGTCAATGCCAGTGAGAAAGTCATAACTCGAGAGAATAGCAAAGTCAATTCAACAACTACATTGGCAAAACAGAAATAGTGCAAAGAAAAGTACATCAAAATTTGGAAAAGTTTCAGTATATGAACTTTGGATTTTTTTTTCCAATTTTTGTCAATTTTTTTCACAATTGTAATTTTATTAGTTCTTCAGAATTTTTACTGTTCGATACATTTCATGGTACAATCACAAGGATGATAATCTGTGAAAGTATGGTTTTGGATAGTTCATTTCAACTCGAATAAGCATGAACGTAAAAATCTTACAGAATAATCAAATTGTGATCGAGGACAATATCACATCACAAACCCGGTTGATTAAAACACAATGCCTGACCGCCTAATCACGGGACCGGGCCGGGTTCAGCCTGCTCGCCACCGCTTTCTTTTCTTAAAAAAACAAACATGACAAAGTCTATCTATTATTTAACCAACATGTTTCTGATATATTTATATAAACTTTTTTGCTTAAATGGATGAAATCTATTTCAGTTTGTGTCCGCAAAAATTGTAAGATATATATTAATATCATTTGTTATTAAGTTCCTCCAATGTCAAATTCTTTATTTCTTAAGTATATCTAAATGAATTGTTTATCTAATATGTCTCTGATATATCTATGTAGATGGATATCGTCAGCCAAAACTGATGAAAGAAGATAAAAGGTTGAAAAATAGCTATAAACGATGGCCACCTTGAGGAATGCCATGTGCTTTTTACCTTTAAAGAAATAATATATTAATTTTATGCTTTTTTTGATGAACTCCAGAAAAGGTCTAGTCCATCAGAAAAAATTTAATTCAGCTGATGGTTTTGAAGGAATCTCCTGGTTCACTATAGCCTTTAGTTTTATGAGAGTTTTTTTTATGGTCCTTTTAATGGGTATAATAGAATAATCGGTAATAAGTAAAATATTGTAGGTAGATATTTAAATATCTACTTATAACAAAAACGACAAAATGAAAATAGTATATTGTCAAAATCGTAAGTATTGACAGCGTCATATTCTACAGTAACTTGAAGTATTCTGAAGCAATACCCTACATGAAAAAGATATTTAAGGATAAGTTTGCGGTTGGTCCCAATAAACTGGTTAGGTACCTATTATCATAATCCAAACATGCAAAATTAATTTGATCACAATCTGAATTACAGGCGCGTACTGTCTAAAACATCAAACACAACGCACACATCGTCACATAAATGCATGTCGGTGCTCACGAGTGAAGAAGAACAAATAGCGAACGAACTACAATCACTAAAAGATCAAATAGAGAACTTGAAAGCCGCCGTATTAGCATTGAAAGGAGACACCGAAAAAAAAGAGGTGTCCATAGCAAAACTTGCAAGGGAGAAAGAGAAGATTACATTAGAATTGCTAAAACAAAGACGTTCAAATATAGAGCTGCTGGAACAATTAGAAGAAGAAAGAAGTTTCTACTTCAAGGAAAAATTAACTTATTGTCAAGAGATGAACGAAATTAAAAAAATGAAAAAAGCTCTTAGTGGAACATCAGCAGCTGGTAATGAATTGAGCTCTGAACATTATAGAAATGAACTAATGAAAGTTAAGCGTACACTGAACCAAACACTAGAAGCAAATTATAATTTAAGTATAAAGTTTCTTAGAATGAAAAATACAAAATCTTGCCTAAAGACACAACTGAAGACTATGCAACTAGAGCACGAGAAAGTAACATACTCTGAATTTCGTTATATATATATATTTTAGCAAAAAAATATTTTTTATTTTTGTAGTTAGTCACCAGTTACAAATCCAAAATTCAAAACTTGTCTGATGATTTGAATGATCTTATCAATGACCGGCTAAGCAGCACAACTTCAGGCAGCAGCAAAAAATATCTTCATGTAATATATATGAAACTTATACTTACAATCCATAGTTCTTAACCATTTTTTAGTTGGTGAAACAAAATAGTTGTTTGGTATACGAAAATCTTTGTCTTCAACTAGAAATAGATAATCTTAATCTGAAATTTGAGAAGGTTAGGTTACAAAGGACCAAAAGTGAAAGCAATAGCAGACTCAGATACATTGAACACGGAAGGAAAAAAAACGAAAAGTTCGTGGATGAATATCCCAAAAAAGTTAGGATTAGAGACGAAAAACCTGAGAAACTTGAAAAGGATTTCAGACCCTTAACCAGCAAAGAAGTTTTAAAGATATACGAAAGAAACGAGGATGTTGGAATACCCAACATTCATATTCTGGATGAACTAGAAATTAGAGCAAACTCCAGATCCACTATTCAATCAATTAGGAACAATGCCCTAATAAACAACATTGTAAATCAATCCCATTCGAAACTGGATCTTTTCCAAGTATCAACTACAATATTCCCAACATCTTCCACTTCCGGTCGAATGGTTAGGGTATGTTCATCTCCTGAACTTCACCATTTGGTTGATTGCAAAAGAATTGAAAATCCATAATTTTATTAATCTTTAATGTATTAAGTTCTAATAAAAATATTTTTCAAGATTATGCTCTTAAAAATATTATAAAAGATAAGATAAAATTTAAAAAAAGGAAAAGATGCAGGCTGTGGATATTAAGAAATCAAGTTATAGTTATTTCCGTCACGAATTATGGACTGGTTAAATACAGAAGTAATTTCAAACAACCGCTGTAGTGTTCTTAATTGGTATCCGATTTCAAAATTTCCGCGATACAATTTTCATTCGTTTTTAAATAACGATGGTCAACTAGATTTGTTTTGAAACGATACCCAGATACCACACGGAGCGGATGGATATCTTTTATCGGGGTAATGACAGAACTAATTTCAAAGATTCCAAGAATGTTTTTGTTGAATTATTGAATTGTAAGTTGTAGTTGAAGACTATCTTTACGTAATGTTAAAATGAATGTTTTATTTATGAAACATTATTTTTGAAAACACGTCACAAAATACGAAGAATCGTTACTTACCAAAAACTAGACTTTATATACTTTGGTTAAACCTTAACATCCTAACTCTGATTCTCGTCATGCCATTTTATTCGAGCCAATTTTACATGGGATGTATAATAAGCACACATTAATTATTACTAGTATGGTTCAAAAATTTTAATATTTGAATATACCTTTCTCCGATCTTTCTTAAAAGATCCTTTTTGTGTTGTGCTTGTGTTTCAATAGCATACTTCGGTTCCAAAAGTAATCCATACTTGGATTCCAAAAGTTTTACATGTCTGGATTCCAAAATGACATCCAGAAGTGTGACATTGGTAGAGTTCAACGGATTTCCAGAAGCTAGCAGAAGTGGAGATCCCGGGCATCCATTCGACAGTAGTGTTGTGTCAATCGTTCATTTTACGAGGACCGAATCAATCAGTGGCCGATTTCAAAAGGTCCGAATCATTTCAATCAATCGTTCATTTCAATACTTTTTGATGCCAACAGAAGCGGCAATAGTCACTGAATCCGAACAGTCCGAACACCGATTCAGTTTCATTTGAATTTGAATTATTGTTGTGTCTATATGTTATGTTTTTTGTTGTAGTTAGTATAATATTTAACTGTGTTCTGCTTTTTATTGAATCACGATTTTATCAAAATTGGTGCTACGTATTGGATTGTACCAGTAATACATTAATTTGTTTAAATTAAATACCTGTGTGAAAATAGATATTTCATTCAATGTTCAAGTCAACACATACGCAAATCTACCAATAGATGTCGCAACTCAACACTATAGAATAATTATAACAATACTCCCGTTCCTTTTTTCTACTCCCGTCTGTAAAATATCTATTTACCCACCGATCTAGCATACGGGAAGGGTCAAGGGACCATGTCAGTTTCGTTTCCCATGAATCCGAGCCACTTCGGACATTTCCGGGATTTTACCGCACGAATTTGGCAGCAACCGGATGTTTTCGGAGATATTTCCCACGCTTTGAATTTTGACGTTTGTCAATTCTGATGGTCATGTCAGTCAATGTATTCGTGTTGTTTTGCGAAAATGTAACCAAAAACTAACGGTCGTAGGAAAAATATGGTATGCAACACGTTCGGTAAACTTTTTAACTCACTTGTTTATTAGAAACTCGCTCCGCTCGTGTTAAATAAACTCGTGAGTCAAATGACGTTTAACGCACTTGTTGCATAATATACTATTCCGTGGTCTATCCAAATCTTAAACCATTCAAATCAATCGTATTCCGCAAGGCGAATTCGATTTGTTTTAGTACGGTTTGGTCGATCAGTCGTACTGTATTCGGTCATTTCAGACCGGTCAGGGCGGCAATGAGAGCGAACAAGGTGATCGAATAGTTACAACAAGCGGGATGCGGTCGTTCGATCCTATGAAGTGATTGATTCAAAGTGACCGAATCAATCGCGATTGACACAACTCTATTCGACAGCCTATTTGTCCACAACACGACCTTAAGTGTGCTATTTTAGTATTTCTTCAAATAAATTTTCCATATCTACTTTTTTTTTATATTTAATATTTAATGCTATGTTTGAAATCTTGAAATCACATAACATTGGTAGTTTCACATGCTACAACGGTAGGCGTTTTGTCGACCATAATTAAAAGTTTATTTGATCCAGCCCTTATAGTTACTAGAGATATAATCGGAATAGGCCCTGTCTACTGCCCTGCTTGCATGCTCGGAAAATCATTCTTTTTACGGAAATATCAATGTGCCTGCAGCGCATCAATTTTTACTGTAGTAGGGCCAGTATATTATCTAATAGGTAATGTGATTAGAACTGGCATCTGTTAACTGTTTGTAATATCAAATCTAAATCTAAAACTCGGAGAAACATTGAGTTCTGAAGAACGTGTTTATTTTTCATGGATAATGTACACGATTAAAACGAGAATATGCAAAAAGTTCAACAAGACGGATCCTGATTTAAGAAACAATGGATGGTCGTTGTGTAGTCATTAAAAAATATTTGGTTCGTGTAGTCGCCTAATTTTATGCCGATTATTTGAAACTTCCGACATCACCTTGCCAGATAATTTTCTTTTATGTGAACTTCACTTTATTCGGAGCAGTCTGTGTTTGTAACAGACTAGTTCCGTGTGAATTAACCTTAAGGTAAGGAGGTCGTGTCTTGACCATTTAGCGATTTTAGGGTCAGCTGAGGTTGGTATTTTGACATGTGGAAAAAAGTTTGGTGCTCAATGTTTGTGTTCGGATTGCGTTTAGTGAGTCATAAACAAAGAATTTTAATTTTAATGTTTGTAGTAATAACCATTTAATTTTTTCGTTTTTACTCGTTAAAATGATGGTAAAGATCGAACTTCACGAGGTCTTAAGGGATTCTCCTAAATTCAGGTTAATTTTATGAGCCGTTATTTTAGCAATTTTAGTTATTATGTGGGAATTATTATAGATGTTTGCTCGAACAGGAAGAGTCAAGCATCGATCATTTGGAACAACGACTAGACAAAATCTTGAAGGTGTGTGGATCGATGATAGATTCCGGAAAAACATATGTTGGACAGCAAAGGTAATAGTAATCTACTTTATGATTAATGTTTTTTTAACTAATGTGATGGAAATGTTTAATATAATTTGGTGCAAGTGAGTGTCTTAGAAAGAAAACTTGGATACTCCTGATATTCTTCAGCTAATGTCTTCACGCTTTTTGAGTTAAAAGTTAATTAAAGTTAATATTTTAAGATGTTTAACGGGCACTTACGGTTCTACTAATTTTGTCCGCTTTTGGGAAGTATCCGTTTGAAGGACTAAGGACTTATAATAAGTAATGATAATGTGTATGCATATACAATATGTACATAAGTATATATGTACATACATACCGTGAAAAAAAAACAGTGAATATGCTGCATTTTTAAATTATTTATTGCATCCATATGTTAATATGACTATATGAAGGACAAATATGTAGTAAGTAAATTTTTAAAATATTATTTAGTCCTTGGTTTTTTGAAAAAAATCTTAGATGTTTGTCTGACAAAACTTTGCCACATTGTGTTTAAGGATGCAATTTTCATAGTAACTTAGTTTTTTTAAGTGCTGAAATGCAGTGAAATCATTCCTGGAAAATTTCTTTAACATAGAAATATGATTTAGAGCTCCACCATATGAATTTATTGCTTTCGAACTACATATACATGCAATATTGTTACTGCTGCTTCTTCTGGTTCGTTTGGACTACTTTTTCAAATTTGGAAATTAGTCAACAGCCTCTTCTTCTGTTGTTATGTTACCGTGTAAGTTCATGACATATTTTATATGTTGGAGGTCTGTTGCTCCTAAGTGTTTGGCATGTGACAATAACACAGCTAGTGTCAATAATATAAAATCTTCATTATCGTAATCAATTTCTAAATTCTAAATTGCATTCACTTTTTCTAAATCCTGCTTTGGCAAAACAATTCTTAATCAAGTACAAAGTACAAGTACAAATAAGTACAAAGCCATTTTGGTTAAAACATGTTTTAAAATGAAGTGTCAATAATTAAATTTGCAATTTTGCATGATACTTTGATCCAAGGGCTGACAATCTGAAGTTATGTTTTGCAGCAAAAATATATAATTTTCAAATTTTTTTAGCTTCAGTTCATGAGGATGAGAGCCATGAGAGCCGGCATTGTTCAGGGACAAAAGCACTTGCCTTTTTTGGATACCCACTTTTCGGTCGAATTGGAGCAACCATTCATATATGATTTATTGCGTCACAAAGCCTTTTTGTTTGATTTGCAAGTCGCTGGGGGATTCTTAATAGCAACATTTTTTAGAGCACTTTTCCAATCACCAACAGAACATCCGGAAGCTGGAAAATGTGAAAATTATATTTTTGCCTCAAAACACATCATACAACATTTCAAATTTAATTGTTGATACTTGATTTTAAAACATGTCTTAACCAAAATTTAAGTTGTTCAAAGTTTATCTCAACTTACAAAGTCCATCAATGTGTTAGAGGCTTTGTACTTATTTGTACTTGTACTTTGTACTTGATTAAGAATTAGTGAATGCAATTTAGAATGTAGTATACAAATTGATTAAGATAATGAAGATTTTCCATTATTGACAGTGTGTTATTGAGACATGCCAAACAATTAGGAGCAACAGACCTCTAACATATAAAAGATTGCATGAACTTAGATGGTAATATAACAACAGAAAAACAGGCTGTTGACAAATTTCTAAATTTGGATGTACAGAGAGCAGACCCATTTAAGAAAAGGTAGTCAAAAACGAATCAGAAGAAGCAGCGCTACAAATGGCTCCAGCACCATGCAGTTGGAAATCAATAAATTCATATGTTGAAGCTCTATGTTAAAGAAATTTTCCAGGAATGATTTATTTCCCTGCATTTCAGCACTTAAAAAATCTAGAGTTACTATGAAAATTGTCTCCTTCAATACAATAAGGCAAGGTTCCGTCAGACATTTTAGTAGTTTGTAGTGAAAATTCAAATGCTATTTTTAAATATATATAATACTCTACTGTATATAGCATTTAAATTAAACTAAATTTAATAGCAGGGCAAACTTCAATGGGACTTGTCAAGTCAGGTGCATTGTTTCCCCATAATTATATTTCTATGCATTCTTTACAGAGTATCTCAAAGCAGTTGCAGTTGTCACTTGTGTATTATTTCATTTTTAGCTTTTGGGTTGATTTTGTCTAGATGTATTATAATATTACAGATGTTATTCTATGTCACAATCTCAGGCAGTGTTATCTGTTAGACTGTTAACTTTAAAATAACTTTTTCAAGATTTGTTCTAAAAGAGGCGAATTCAGTTGGTAGTCATTAATAGCAGATATTTTCAGCCTCTTCGCCAATAGTTTATGGGATCTAAGTACTCATTTTAGAGAAGATCCGGAAGTGTTGTCTTCTTTAAATAAGTTGATACATAGCCTACAAGAAATGAATAAATTTCATACAATTCTTCTTGACCAAGCATCAAGAACTATATTAAAAAATATCACATCCTTTATAAAAAAGTAAGTCAATTAACTGATTTTTTTTAAGTGAGTGATAATCATTAATTTTAGCGATATAAAGTCTGTCAAGGATTACAAGCAACACTTTGAGAAAATATCAAATGAATATGATAATGTATTGATAAGAAACTCTCACACTCCACGCAGTAAAACGCAAGAGGTTGAAGAGATTCAGAATATACTTCTTGCTGTAAGATCTTGCTTCGGACATCAGACATTGGATTATGTTAACAGTATTTGTGTGTTGCAAACTAAAAAGAGGCATGAAATTTTGAGTACTGTAAGTTGTTTTTTTTTTTAATTGACTGTCGTCTGGTTTGTCATTGCTGCACACTGGCACTTTTCATGTTGTTTCATTGTGAGTTTATGTTTTAAAATATCAACCCTAGTTTACTTGGTTCAAAAGCGGCTTCTATATGTACATAATCATTTCAACAGCTCCTATGTAAATTATTGAGATATACTGTTATATCAATTGGCATAACACAAGTTATTCTAGCTGCAAAATGTTAATGACATCATTCTTCATAATTTTGTATTGGTGTTTGCAGCTTTTGTCATACATGCATGCATGTACGACATACTACCATCAAGGGTCAGACTTGTGCGATGATTTGCAACCATTTTTCAAAACATTAGCTGATGAGGTAGGTTAGTGGAAGTAAAATAAATAAACAACTATGAATACTATTAGAACGTGAGTATAACAAAAATTATTATAGATAGGCAATATGAGAGATGAAACGTATAAAATTGAAAAAGAATTAGAAAACAGACATGCTGTGGTATCCAATATTGACAAACTACCGCTCGTGGGCGATAAGAGTACCCCAAAAATGGAGGGTTATTTGTTCAAACGTACATCAAATGCATTCAAAACATGGAACAGGAGATGGTTTTATCTTTTTGATAACAAGTTAGTGTACAGGTGTGTGATTTTTATAAAAAACAATATATTGAAATATTATGTTACAAATATTAAGTTGTTTCTCCTCCAAGAACGTTTGTCGACATATTTATTTTCAATGTAAAGTTTAAAATTTTAAGCCTGACGCCGATACACATGAATTCGCTAACATTGAGTAACATTTCTGAAAACACAGTTATGTGCAACAAATGAGTATAATTAGTTAAAAAATAAAAAATTAAAATAAAAAAAAATTCTTATAAAGATAGATAATATGATTTTAAATCAAAATAACACAGATTGTTTGCTATATTACTTTTTGTGTTTTGAATTCGCTTTTTTGTCTAAACAAGATGTCATTCATTCTCTATACAATAATTAGGAAATATTGGACTGTAGACCAACTATTCGGAGATTTGGAAGTTTTTATTTTTTGTGCTATTTTAGAAAAAGATCTGGAGAAGAGCACGAAACAGTAATGGAGGATGATTTGAGATTGTGTACTGTGAAACCAGTTACCGATGGCGAGCGAAGATTTTGTTTCGAGGTAGTGTCGCCCACAAAGTAAGTGATGATTTTTTTTTTGATAGCGTTAATAATTTGCGAGTATATTTTAAATAGATATCTGTTACGCAGTTTGTGTCAGAATTCACTTAAGTTCCTATTTTTATCCTTTATCATTTAAAATATATTTGTAGAAGTCACATATTACAAGCTGATTCAAAAGAAATGTATAGTGAATGGATACACGCTCTTCAAAAAGGAATTGGTGCCGCTATTCAAAGAGTACAGAGTTGTGAAATTCAGGAGCACAAGAAGAATGGGAAAGGTTTTGCTCACATCCAGAGAGACCATGCCGAACCAATTTTGAATAATAACAAAGTTAAGAAAGTGAAGTTTGTATTTCTTTTCATTTTAGATGTTATGTGTTTTTTTTTTATTTTTAAAATGTTTGTAGAATGTGGGAACAATTACTGAAAATACCAGGCAATAATTATTGTTGTGATTGCAGTAGCCCCAACCCCCATTGGGCTAGCATCAACTTGGGAATTACTTTATGTATTGGTGAGTACATTTCTGTACAACAATTCTGGTGCTCTATAATAATGAAATAATAATAACTTCAGTCATATAATGTTTCTTTTTTTGGAAAAGTGGACTTTATTTGTTGATAGAAAAGTTAAGAATTGTTTTTCCTTCATTAGAATGCTCAGGTGTCCATAGGAGTTTGGGTGTTCATTATAGTAAAGTTAGATCTCTGACGCTTGATGATTGGGAGCCAGAAATTGTGAAAGTGATGGCTGAACTTGGAAATTCAGTTGTCAACAAAATCTACGAAGCAAATATACCTGATGATTGTGTTCGTCCTACACTTCATTGTACTGGGTGAGGCATTGTGCACTTTGAAATGTATGTAAATAATTGTTTAAGTTTTATTGTGGATGTGATGTCACATCACATAGGTCAGTACGGGAGACTTGGATAAAAGCAAAGTATGTGGACAAGAAATTTGTTAGGGAGTTGCCACATTTTGATACATCACCTTCACAAAGTCGTCAATCACGCGCTAGTATGATGGAATTTCGGAAGTGGAGTGTCAGAAAAATGCGTCGCAGACCTAGAAGTTGCGACGCAAGAAGCAGAAAACGACGGACAGGACATCAAACCATAACAAAGCTTGAGGTGTTGTCTAAGGGATCAGATATTTCTAATGTTGGTGTTGAAGATGAGGAGGATAATGAGATAACGCCCACAAGTAATGATAACGTTTTGCTTTTTGGAAAAGATTTGGAAAAACAATCTATAGATGGTGCTATTGATTTAAGCAGTGACCAAGAATCTACAGAAGGGGAAGAAAGTGAAACAGTTGGTAAGCTTTCATATATATCCAAGGGGTTAACAGCCGTAGCCATCTTCTTTCCTTTAATTGGGCCCTCCATTCAGATCTACCTTCCTATGATCCTTCTATTGACTCTTCTATCTCATCTCTCCATGATCTTCTTGGCCGCCCTTTCTTTCTTCTTCCAATCGGACTCCAGTATTTAACTCCCAATTTTTATTTAAAAGCAGTTCTGTAATTAAAGAAAAGATTAATTAACTAATGTTTTCGTGTTCTTGCGCTGGTAATTCTGGATAAATTTGTATTGTTTTCTGAAAAATAAGGTGAGGAAGACATATCCAAATTGCAACCTGATTTATTGCTATACAAAGCATCTGCTGCACACAATCTGCCTGTGATGTGTGAGGCCCTCGCTCTAGGTGCTGATAAGAATTGGATCAATCCAGACGACCGGGGCAGAATTCCTCTTCACGCCGCTGTTTTAAGTGTAAGACCATGGCAATATGTGCCGAACAAAGGTAATTCTGTTTTTTGATAGGGTTCGGTGATGCCGTGTGCCTATTTGCTTTTAAATGGGTGTAAAATCAATGCACAAGATCAGAGTGGAAAGACTCCTTTGCATCTGGCTACGCAGGAAGGACATACAGCGCAGGTGTGCCTATTTTTAAAATACAAAGCGGATCAGCATTTGGAAGATGACGAGGGAAAAGTACCCCTTTCCATGGCGGAGCAAAAAGAGCACGCTGACATAGTTACTTTGCAAGTATTTTCTGTGCATTATAAAATAAGAAATAAGTGTTTCAAAAATTCAAACAAACAATTCTCAGATCGATTAAGGGGCGACCCTAGCAAATTATTAATTTGTTTTTTTTGTACAGATTGAGGCTGGGCCGTCTTAATGAGGAAATGAAGGAGTCTGAGGCAGGGGTCACGGGCGATGATATGTTTAATGATGTAGTGCGCGATTTCTCTCGCCTGGCATATTCGCACCCTGAAAAATTACAGAGGCCAAAAATTGACAACGAATAATATTGTGATATTCTACTATTAGTTTTTTATACATAGAGTATTAATGATTCTGACAAAGGGGATGGAACATTAATGTACCTTATATGACGATTAACATATTTAAGTAATTATCTGTTGCTATTGCTTGAAACTTTTTTACATATTCTTTCTTATGTAATTAAATAATAATACAATTAAAGAAAGACTTCTATTGTGGCAGGAGAACAAGAAGATACTGAAGATTTTGCTTGATTTTTTACATCTTTTACATGATCTCCAAAAGTACAGGTTGAGTATCTTTAGATTGATGTAATTCCAAATTTTTCTTGTATAAAAATTACCATCTTTAATAAGAGTATCCAGTACCAGCAGGAGATATATGGATAAAACTGTGTTTCAAAATTTCTCGCCCCACTTTTGGAATTTGCAGTTGTTTCAGAAACTATTTTATCTGTGGAGTTTTATGACAACTTGTCAAACACTTGTGATTATGCAAGATGTGAAGGTTCATTATTTCACTCAAAGCTCAGGAGAAGGAGAATTCCATTTGAGAGTGTATTTTCATCATATATGGTGCTAATTTCTGTCATATTTTGTAACTACTTGTATTCTAACTTTATGAGTCCTATTTTAAAAAAAATATCTCAGACTGTATGTTTCGTTACTAGTTCATGTGTCATTTATCGGTATTTTTTATAAGGTGCATTATTTTTTAATTTTCCCGAATATATTTTTTATACATGAATAGGTTATGGTTGTATTTGTCTTTTTTATTGTATAATTTCCGACTACCATGATAAATAAAACATGACTTTAATTTTATTATCCTAGAAGGGGTTTTGTTATAATAGTAATGCAAAATAAGAAAGGGCGCTAATATTACTCGCGATGTAAATAGTATTTACCCAACTCACGGTTCATGCTAAGCTGATATATTTGTTTTTCTGAAAAAATATTTCCATGTTTGTATGTTTAAAGAAAAAAAATTCAAATTTTCCGTTCTTTGAATCTTACAGTTGGTAGTGATAATTTATAATTGTTAGTTAATCCGATAGAACGCAGGCGCAAAAACATGGTTAGGTCTGTATTTATTATTAATTGAAGAAATATATTGTATTCCATCGTGAATGTTTTATTAATTGTAAATGGTGATTTTATTCTCTTTTACCTATTAATAAATAATAAGCCAACAATAAATAGACAAAAGCAAATTTATTTATTTATTTTTATTAAATGAATTAGATGCCAAACGTCCTTTTCTAATGTTAAAAATAATTTAATAGTTAAATGTAGGAATACTTGTAAACTTTATATAAATATACAGGTGCACAAATAAATACAAAAATATGCTTAATTTTATCAGTCATTCGGTTACAATCTATATATCTTATTTATTAATTTCATCTATGCAGATATTTCGAAAAATTATCAAAACTAGTTAAGAATACATATATAGTACCTACAAAATACTAATAAAGGAGCAGAGAAAATGTTTATTTTCATAGACAAAGTGAATCTAGTTGTTCTGTATTTTGTAGGACAAAGTATCCCATTTGGAAACGTCTGAATATGTTATGATAGGATGTGTTAAAATACAGGTAAGAAACTTATAAATCTCAAACTCGTTAAAAAAATGTTAAAATATAAAAACTAAGAAATCTTAAGTTAAAATACTATTGGTCGTCTGGTAAGTTAGTGACAGAGGGTATTTGGTCTTGTAGTATCACGTGGCTTTAGATTCTTCTTCCGTCTGCTGGCATCGATACACATAAGATTGGATCGAAATATCCTCATCCGCCTTCAGACAAGTTAAACTTTGGGGGCATTCACATCTGAAATACAACCGTTAAAATAACTATCGCACATTTAAGATAACTATCAATTTTAAGTAAAATTGACTTAAACGGCCACTATGTAGCGAAACGAATAACTCGGAAATTTAGTTTTTTATGTTATCCAAGAAAAGAAATTTATTATGTGAATTTTGTGCATCAAGATGCATTTTTATGTGCACAATTTTTTTTTTATTTCTGCTTTCCGATTGATCAATTTTAATTCCCTTTATCTTGACCCCTTGAATAATTTATATCAATAATCATGTCCTCACTTCACTCGTGTGTTATCAGACACTAGTGCCATAAATAATTGAATAGTGACCTATAAAACTTGCAAAATATCGGTTGACACTCGTATATATCCTTTACGTTTTATATATTATGTTTTCTGTCAATGACAGCATTTATATATCATTGTAATTTTTGCTAATTTTGATTTATTATTTTAGTATTTTAAGTAGATTTTGGAAATAAAGTTGAATTAGGCACATGTATTATTACGTAATTTAATATAATAATATTAATATAATATAATTTAATATATAAGTAACCTACTGATTTAGCAAATAACCATTATGATAGTATCACTATCACTAATACCGCAACGTTAAAACAATCAGTTTTTTATTATTATTATTATTATTTATAGTGTCAAAGAATCTGGATGTAATAGTTACAACGGGACGTCAAATTACTTCGAAAGGTATTTTTTATCGACATACAAATTTCCTCCGATGTAGAAAAAATGAGTGGATGATGGGCTTACGTATTTTTCATAAAATAGTCCACATTTCTCGTGATTTGATTGTAAACCGCCCATCCGCAAGGAACTCTGTCTTTACATACAAATTGGGTGTCATCTCTCTGCAACAAAAAAATTTCCATTATTACAACCTGAATCATTTTAACATAAAATTTGATCTAATTTTTTTAATGATCTTAGTTTTTTAATAAAATATTTCAAGCAGTGTTGGTTACGGAAAGAGCGTGGTTATAGTCTTGTTATAAAACCTTTATTTGACAATCTATTTTTATTAAAAATTAGATAAAATAAATTGTCAAATAAAGTTTTTATAAGATGTGTAAATAGTATTACTGTTGCCTGTGGAAATAAAAGTTTCTTTAAAATATCAATTCCATACTTTGGTTATAAGATATGAGTTATAATTAGGTTATGGTATTACACATTTAGGAAATTCGTACTTCTAATAAAGCACTGCGCAAAACTAATAATTGTACTACAATTAATTTCAACGGGTCCTAATTTCCGAAGTTATTTAGTGTCTACTCGTTCCCGGGGTGAAGAAACTTTTTCCTCTTTTTTTTTTTGATATCACATATGTAAAATGCAAGTTTATTTTTTGGTATTTTCATTTACTAATGCAACATTGCCATTTCAATTACAGGTATGATGTAACTTTTTTGTATTTTGTGGAGTAAATTATAAAAACTGCTTAGCCTTAGAAATCTCTAAACTGTAAACAATAATATGCAGTTGCAACAAAAAAATATACGTTTCTTATTATTAATGATTAATTAATGCGTTATTTTTTTAAAGAAAATTATGATTAAAAGGGTGAATTTCATATACTTATTCGTTTCAATAACAATCAAAATTCACTTCATTTAGTAACTTTTTTATGTATGTATATCTTGGACAGCCTCTATCGTTCTTGAGTTCAGTAGTACCGTGACCTGCAGAACAGTTTATTTTATTAGATTACGTTATATATAATTTTACTACTATCTTTCATTCACTCTTTTTTATCGGTGAAATATTCTAGCAACAATCGCGGCCGTATCTTTATTGCAATTGGTGACACGATGCCAAGAGTTTATCCGTAAGTTTATCGTTATCTGTCTTTTAGAAATGAAACTCGCGATGTTTCTTTCGTAAATAGATATGTGTTGCGAAAATATGCAATTATACATGCAGACGCATGTTGACAAGAATCTTTTATGAGAAATAATATTTACGTTATAGGGACAACTAAAAAGTATTTTTTGAAAATCTTTGTTTTTATTTATTCTTTTTTAAAGTGTCACCAAATTTCAATTAGACCTGTGATTTCAAACCCCGTTTTCAATCAACAGACCTTGCGGCGTTTATCAATGAATGACTGCTCACACTTTGTGTCTTTTCTGGAAATATGCCCATTTAAATTTTCAGGGAAACTGCAAGTTATGTGGGAGGCAAAATGCAACTTAGTATACGGGACACGTGCGGAAGGTCATTTCTTGCTCTACAACAATATATGCTGCCTGAGGTGCATTTAAATCTAAACTTATGGGATGAGCTAAGTTTAATTTGATTAATTCGTTAAATATTTTTACCATTTGTTAAGTCGCCGACTTATCTTAGAGAAACCACAACGTTTAAACTGGATGAAAATTATTACAAAAATAGATTGAAACTATCTTATCAAGGGCGCCCATGTTCTCCAGAAAAATAATCTATTTTAAAAACCAAATTTTTGAAACAAAAAATTGAGGAACATATATCAAAGAACAGTAAATGAAATTATATACAGGGGGTGGCATTTAAATCAAGCGACCTATTGCCATAGAGCACTTCCACTTACGACGAGGTGTAGAGAGTGTAGTGAAGAGTGAAACTTTAGTTTCCTATCAGAATATAAAATAAGAAACCCAAGCCCATATTTAAACAGAATAAATTTGTAGTGGCCACTAATATAAAAGAAATGATTTTAACATAACCACATATTTCAGTGGTTGTTGGATAAGCGCTGGATAAACACTGACTTTCATTCCTCCCCACCCTTCTCTAACGCGTTAAGTTAAGCTGTGTCCCGGAGAGATTTTCATATAAAAGCCGCAGGGACTTGATGGAAGTGTCCGCTCAAGGAAGTCCGTTGAGAGATTCTGCTGCTTAATGTCATATTTAACGTTGCTAAGTACAATGGGGGAATGTAAAACCCAACGTTCTCGTAAACAGCTCGTCAAAGATACCAAAGTTTTCCGAGCATATAGTTGTGGGGCTATAGTGGCAAAGACTTCGTTATTGTCTATTGTTTAATAGATGTTGCACAAAATCTAAAGGAGAGTTTCATAAAATGGCAACAATGTAAAAATATATTTTTCAAAATGGAACATTCTATATATTTTTGCAGACTTCAATTACTCCAAGAAATGTTTATTGTGACTGTGATTGTTTTCGGATTTTATTAGGACGGTTCCAACCGATTAGAAATGATCTAAAATATTAAAAAATATATTCTTTCATAATTTCCTCTATCTTTTAATCAGCTGCTGTTATGATATTAAAAATAGTCCTTAATATAGTTAAATGCATTGCCCAAATTATATTAATGCCCCTAAGTAATTACATGATACTGAAAGTTCTCTAAGCTCTTACTAACTTTCCGAAATTTAAATCAAACTTTCTTTGATATTTTAAATAAACCTTGTATCTTACTACTTCATTGTGATCAGCTATTATATCTACTTTTGATTGATAGCTTTCCATTTTCCTATTGACTGAAGTTCTATTGTAATATTTGTTTTTATTTATTCACTTGTTTTTAAAAATACGCCAGCTTATTGTTATCTAATAAGAAGAACGATTATAACATCAAATGAAGATAACCTACCGTTTACGACAAAGGAAGAAATAAGAATTAGAATTTCAAATGTTTTTCAAAATGTCGACATTTCATTTACTATGTCGAGAGAAATATTTAATAGAAGTATTAGTAATATTATTGAAAACTAATTTTTTTAAAGAAACTGCCACAGGCTACTGTCATACTATTTACAAGTCATCTGGATTCCTCCTTTGGTTGTTCATGAATCGACGATTCGCCAATGATCCTGTTGTCTTCTTCAGGGCTTGATTGAAACGAAGGCAAATTTGAATCATCAACAAGGAACCCAAAAGATTTGAAATTAGTAAATTAATTACAGTTTCAATTTACGAGTTCAATGTGTATCTTCATTTAATTACGAATAATTTTTGTAATAGCTCTTTAACGGCCTATTTTTCGGAAATAAAAACTAGAATTAAGCCAATCTGCAATTTTGATTGACCAAAAACGAGTTTTTAAGTAATTAGCATTGGAAGTTGGAAATATAGAAGATTATAGAAAATAAATATTTTGCTCCCAATAAGTGGGCAACGTTCGATTAAATTTCGAAAGCCGCCACAGTTTCCCACAAACAATCCCTGGAGAAATCGAAATATACAAAAATACATAATATTTTTACGAAGGGAGATATAGTACTTTGCTACATTATTCCGCCATATCTGTAAACTTTGATCGTACCGCTTTTGCTATTTTAAATCGGCGAAAATAAGTATTCCTAGTTAACACTCAAGTTTAATAAAGTTTCCTCTATGAAATTTGGATGATTTCGCAAAACGCGCCATTGTGCGGATGTTCCGATCATACACGTGTTTTTTTTTGCAGTTTACGACCGCACGTGACTGGTGTAGTATACAATGTCTGCGTTTTATCTGGAACACATCCAAATTATGTTTTGTCTAGCGAACGAGCAAAACAAAAAGATTCTGATCATTCAAAGAGGTCTGCTTGATGACTAACCGCCAGACGATTATTTTTATTGGCCGCAATCGCTTCGCGTGGAAATTGTAATCTAATTAAGACAGCCGGCCGCAATGCCGAAGGTAGAATTGGCTTTATGTTCCAACACACCGCTATAGGTTTCTGCGATAGAAAAACTTCAGAGAAGCAATGTTTTGGACAGCTATTTTAAATTATATAAAAATGTAAAATTTAAGTAATACAAATATAGATAAAGAGAAAATAATATCGCAAAAATGTGTTCCCGGGACATGCGAGTAATATCCTGAAAGAGGTTTGAATGGATTGTTGCAGGATAATGCCCAAAGCAAGGATCCTAGATTATACTCGTAAAAATAATGAAGTCAAACCGCTGGTTAAAACAATGCATATAAAATTTTCGTTTTTCAATATATAAAATATGTGTTAATAAAATGTCGCTCATTGAGATACAGAGTGACGTGTTGTTAAACCCTATATATAGACAAATCAAATTCTAAATAAATGTTGTTATATAGCACTGTTGCAGAATGTTGAATTGTTGGAAAAAATGTGATCAAAATAAAGCGAACGGTTCGCGAGGAAACGAATTTCGTGAAGGGGATCTGTTTTAGTGGCCGATTTTTTGTAGAGGTGACTGTAGTAAATTGCAAATATCTTGCAAACGGCAGTAGAAAAAAATATTTATGAATAGAAATCATAAAGTATTATCGATACAAGAAAATTAATAATAAATGAATTAATATTTTATTTATAATTAAAAGGGCCGCGCATGGATTCTTTTACGTTTTTTTAACAATCAAATCAAACTTGCAGAGTCTATAAACTGGTTTTCGCCTTTCGTTACTTTTCTATCGATGGTATCTAACATTATTCCAATATTATCTCGGAGGGGAACGGATTAATGCAAAATATTCATGTTCGACTTCCGATAAACAATAAAAGGAATTAAATCGAACTTTCTGCTTTTATGCAGTCCCAATTAAGTTCGTATTGACTATACTATATGCGATACGACGATGAGGTCGATGAATTTAATGCGGCCAGCGACGTTGACTAAAATATTGAAGCTGGATAATGTGTGGTAACACATGTCTTATCAAATTATGATACGATGTTTATCATCTATCTATCGAATATAATTTGCATGGGAAATAGCTTTAGTTGCGTATTAAGTGCTGGTCTTATCTGGAGCATCTAGAATGTTGTTTGTTTTCGTCACGGTGGTTTATGATTTGTCGATAGCAAATCGACTTTCGCATTACAAATGCCCGTTTGGAATTGTTTTAATGCTGCGAGCACTAAACGATCATACGTTTAAATATTTTTGTCCTAGTGCCAAATTACTGAAAAACTATTTGCATATTTGCAGAGTTGTAATTTGCCGTTTTGCCGTCCATGACATTGACCTGAATTTATTTATAAACAAACAATAGACGCAAAATCTTTCCTGGAACCACGTGTGCGTATTTTAGGTTAGGTCAGATAAATTCCCCTTATCGCTACGCGAGAAAACAAATTATTATTTGACGAATGACGATGATACTTAGAATGTCGCGTGCGATTCAATAAATTGTGAAATAGAGAAGTGCATCGGATAGAAATAGTTATTTTGTCAACATTTAGTCGTCATATCCAATTACTCAACGGTACCAGTAATTGTTGTATTTACTACAGGTACTGTGTCGGACAGTGTTCTAGAACTTAATGTTCAAAATTTTATTTATATACCTAACTATTACATTGGTTGCATTACATTACATTACATAAAATTAAATTGGATATATCATTCTGAGAGACACAAAATAGAACCATACAATGTGTGCGTTTTTTTCCATTGAACATATAAAATTGAAATTTTTGAGTGTGACAATAGAAACGGCTACTTCCTTAAATTATTTTTATGAAATGGTCCATGCGGGGTCGTAATTTAGCCCATTTTAGAGGTACTTTCATTAAGAAAACGTCCCTAATAGTATATTATGTAACAACGTAGAGCATAATTTTTCTACTACTAGTTTTTGGGTATATTTTTGCAAAGTAGCATGAATACATTTGCAGAGTGAAGTGATCATCAGAAGTGAAAAACTCCAAAATACCATCAACGTGTTTAATCTACAAAAAACATCGGATCGCTCCCAAACCCGTGACTAAAGCCTTTTTGAAGGTGACGTTTTGCGCACGACTGGTCCATAATAGAGTGGAAGTAGAAGAAATATTTATGCACTAATTATGCGTTGATTAGGATTGCCAAAGTATCGCTTTTCGGGTGTTTCCAGAACTTAGGCCACGGGTTTGGTATTTTGACATGTGTCAGTTCTAATTCCAATTTCTACCCCCATTCAGTCCATAGGCGCAGTAGTATCATCTATAAAACAAAATAACTTAAGAATATTTCCGAAAATAAATAGGCATGGACTAATTTACAGCCGTAGTATAAAATATAACTAATGTAAATGAATTAATAATCACAGCCTTAGTAAATTTTTGTAACTTGATCTAGCAAGTTTCACCTCAATACTGAAATATATTTTTTTTTTCGCTGAAGAATAAGCTTTATGCTGTGGTATGTTAACAGAAACTATGTACTTAGGTAAATACTTTGTTAGCAAGCTGGGTGAGTATTATTTTTCGTCATTGTTTCATTTCCCGACGTTCGAGACGAAGTATCGAATTTTTGACAAAAAAAAATGGACGATTTAATAACTGGAACATTGTTTTAAAAAATGAATCAAACCAATTGTAAATTGAAGTTCTTCTGCTACATTCTGTAATATTAATTCCTGGCACGTTAATCCTGACTTATACGCATAGAAAATAGCGAAACTGGACCGGTCCAGACCCTACCAAAAATTAATACTTTCTAGCTCTAACTGCATTCGCTCAATAACACTGTTACACATTAATCCAAGATATACTTTGGTTATTCAATTTATTCTAATGTGGCGAATACTAAGCAGTCCGATTGTAATCTATAAACAGTAAGTTTTATACGCGGTTAAATTGTACTTGTACTACAAAAATAGATTTTTAAAAATTTAAAACTAATAAGAAAGTAATGCGAAATATCTTGTTGCAAATCCGTTTATTTATTTATTTCTGGTTTTAATTCATTCATATAAATTAAAGATTTTACTAATAAATTATAGTATGGGTTTTTCTACAATTCTCCCAAAAATAAACCGAGCAGAAAATTTATTCTAAACGCATAAACGCAAAACCTTTTTCGCTAGTCTGCCAGTGCGAAGAAACAAAAACACTATCGCTCGGACCGCAAAATGAGCATAAAAAAAAACATAAAATTAGCGCAAAAAACTGCAAACAAATGGCGACATAAAAAACGTACAATAAATTTTGCTAATTTAGTAAGTTGCGAACATGAAATTTTCTTTTAAACCTATTGACCAAACATGACTATAATTGAATAACTTTCTCACCTTTACCAATGACTTGGGCATCACCGACGACACAATCAAGAGGCAGCAGAAAAAAATGGGGAAGGCTGCTTTCTTGCTTATCGGAATCATTATTATCATTGTCAATTTTTTTTTCGATCAACCCGTCTCGCGTTTATAGGTTCAAGTTGAAGCAGGCCGACAATAACGGGAAAGTGCAACAAGATACAAAACACACCGTTGCGCTTATCAACCAGCAACGCGTCAACTCTACACTTTTGTCTCCCAACTTTACGCGTGAATCTTAAGATTTTGTTTTATGCGCTTTTATATATATATAATTTTATTTTGGACCGTTGGGAGACGCGCGCGCAACCTTTGCAATTTTTTGCCCGGTACACGATGGGGATTTTTTGTTTTGCAAACGTTTTTCGTTTGTGCACGCTATTTCTTGCATTTATATCTTGATTTTGTACGAGCATGGTAAATAAATTACTTGATTATAAACAAACAAATATTGAACTGAGGTGGCTTTTACTTGATGAAAATCCATTTATCAAAATAAATAAGAACTTTTAGTTCTTATTTATTTTAACAAACAAATAATATTTATAAGAATAAACGACAGCAAACATTTAAAAATTTTAAAATTTAATAAACAACTTGACAATTTCAACATAACGGCCTATATATTTTTTATGGGAAAATAACTACCATAATTTTGAAAATTAAATTAGGAATAAACTAAAGTTGTCAAATTGATTATTTTTAGCTTGATTTTTATATAATGTTGTTGATTTTTTAATCAAAAATTCTGTACAAAATTCTGTAGCTTTAAGTGTTGCAAGTTTTTAGATACTTAATATTTTCTGTCAGAAGTAACGTTTGCACACTTTTGATCATTGTAGATGTTTCCTAATTGGAATATATTTAAACGATGGGTGGTTTCCATTAAAAAAAATAATTTAGTCGATTTTTTCAATGTGAATATAATTTGAATTTTTTTCTAAATCCAAATCTGTTTTTTTAGTTAGTATTTGGACATTATAATTGAAATGCAAATAGACAAGGTATTCTATTAAAAATCAGAAAATTGACACCGACCTCAATAAAAAAAAAGCATATTATGCAACAATTGTGGTAAACGGTATTTAAAAAGTTTCAAAGTTATTAAGTTAAAAAGTGTACCTAACGTATTGCATACTATACTTTTTCTACGACTCTCAGTTTTTGAGTACATTTTCGCAAAACAACACGAAATCATGCCATTGCTCCCAAACCCGTGCGGTAAAATCCCGGAAATGTCCGAAGTGGCTCGGATTCGTGGGAAACGAAACGGACGTGGTAAAGTGACGCTTCCCGCACGCTAGATAATTGTGTAATTAGGCATTTTACAGATGGAAGTAGAAAAAATGTGTTTTCAGAAAATAAAAAAAGACGATGTAAAATATAAAAATTTCAAATATTATATAAAGTTTCAAGAAAAAATATTTTCTACTATTTACATTACTAAGATTTCAAACTTCCATTTTAAGTAGTTTGATTTTTATTTTGTCCATAAAACACCCGCCAAATCGTTAGCGTAAATAAGTGGTACTTTTTTTGGAACCAGAAAGATTTATTTTACATGTTATATATATGATTTTCATAATTATAAATACAAAAATAAGCATCACAATTGACAAAATCAATATTTTTTAAATTTCAACCCTCAATTTATATAATCCTGTCTAGTTTAACATTAACAAAGTAGACAACTTTTTATAAAGTTGTTTTGGACTATGAATGAATGGAATATTTATTTAAAAGATATTGATTATGCTTGATTATTGATTTATTTTTCAAAAAGTTGCATTGGTATACTTGAAACAACAAAAAAATCTAATAAAACCGAGAGACATGGAAATCTAGACCCATATAAATTTCCAGTATTTTCTCGAAATATGCTCAGACCTTGTTAAATGTTCTGGAAAATCCATATATGTAATTAATTTTTGAAGCAATATTGACAAAAATATTGAGATGGACCAGTTAATATGCGAATGCGTGGTCATTTGAAATCTTGTTTTCAACCAATAAGACCCAGTGGCGTTCAACAATCAGAACGGTGTAGAGATTTCGTCAATTCAACTGGTTACATTTGTGAAGATCGCTGTTTAGAAAAAAATCATAGCCGACCGAGGCTCATCAATTTTTCCTCTACCAGGATCACTGTATTAGTTAACAGTTACATGTCTCGATAAATATACCTTTCTTACATTTTTTTAAGATTAAATTTACTTACCTTATCATTTGACGCGACTGATATGTTTTTAAAATATTTTTGTTAAGTGGTGGTAAGTTCACAAATTTTATTAATTTTAATGGTGACAATATACCTTTTTTCCTTTGATTGTGTTTATTCAGACATCACCTTGAATTTTACTTAAGTAATGAAATGATTTAAATTTAGTTTCTTTTTAAACTGACAAAGACACCAAAAATCTCCCTTATTATATTTTTCCTTTATTGCGCAAAAGTTAGCAATTTTTTTTGGTTTTGTTAAAAAATGTTCTCCCTACGTTACACACGATCGCGAGCCCCTTTTGAGAATTCCGCTAATTTAGTGACGGGTTTGGATGTTTTCGGTAGGTCATGGATGGTATGTCAGTTCTCATGCTCACGTCACACTTTACTGAGTAAATATAATCGTGCTGTTTTGCAACAATTTACACCTATGTTTGTACAGAATGCACCATATAGCCACATAGAAATCTTTACTCTTTAATGATTTTCAAGTTATCATATAGTAGGATCCGGGAATTAAATGTTAATATGCTTTTTACCCCCTAACGAGACAGTGGTCAAGCATGCTCGAAGTGTCACTTTAAGACATCAACTTTATTAACCCCTGTGGCGAGCCACTTCGAACGTTTTGGGTTTCCATGTGCCATGTGTGCTATGAAACTGAAAATAATAGTAAAATAAAAGTTTATATACAAATATGACTTTTATTTTGAGGCTAATAGAAAAACGTAAATTCAAATAAAATAAATGTTATTTAAAGTTTAAATTAATTAGTACAAAATAAAACAAATTGATATATGTAAGAGTCGTTCGAAACAAAATTAATTTAATTTTTCAAAGATACATTCACAGGCTACTATAATACTATTTACAAATTTTCTGGATCCGTTTCAGTTAAGCTCTGAAGAAGCCAAGACGACGATGGGCGGAACGGTTGGAGGAATCCATAAGATTTGTAAATAAAACTGATTTAAAAAAATTTAAAGGCAGGTCATATGGCCGAAAAACTGACCGTGGAATGTTTAGGAATGCGGACCAAACGCATCCCTAATTCTATACACAAGTTTGAAAGAATTTTTTGAAATCAACGGGTTTAAATCTGGAGTCGAGTCTTTTATGATATGCTGCACATCGCTTCTTATAATAATTAATAATTCCTAGTATTTGAACTTCGAAAACGACCACTCAAGGTGACTTTAACAATATTTGGAAACGACTAAAATTAAAAAAGCGCAGAAATTCGAATGTTTGTAAAAAAATGTTTTCACATTTCATTTTGGATTTAAATATCATTTGGCATCCTAATTAAAACATAATCTTTTATTTGGTAAAGTCGGGATATTGATATTGATATTGAGATGCAGTTTCCACTGTGTTGTTGAGCTCTTATGACTTTCTAATGACATTTATTCTTTAATAAAAATTCTTTTTGCGATCATTTCAGAAATATTAACCTGATGGCGAAGTAAACAACCTCAATCGCGTAACTATTTACTGCCTAGGAAACTCATTTTTTTAACGACTCCGAGTGTCTTAAAAAGTATTAATGTTTTTGGAGATATGTACATTTATTTAAGAAAATTTTCGAGCACCTCCCACTACTTGCAGAGATAGAAGAAAAAGCACTAAACAAAAAAGATTTAAGTTTGTCTCAGCTTTAAGATTGTACTCACTGCAACGTTACAAATTTTCGTAGAAAGTGAATTTTAAAATCTAATATAAAAATTATGCTCCCTGGTTGCCATTTCAGAGACGCAAAAATAATTTCCAGCATTTTGTCTTGGCGGATTGACTCCATATTTTTTTTAAATTTAACGTACACTCTGTGTCTGCGACTGCCGGTCTATGTTTATAAGAACATTTTGCATTAATTTTAAAAGATCCAATGAGGCCGACAAGCATTTTATACTGCAGCAACCGTAATAGCGAGTATTTTTGCTATTTGTACTTTGACCAGGAGATTTATTCATTAAATTATATAGTTAAATAAGAACAAACGTTTGTTCTTATTTAACTATTTTAAATGGATTTTCATCAAGTAAAAGCCACTTCAGTACAATTAAATGATATGACGTAATTTAAAAAACACCCTGTATATTAAGTAAGTAAGTAATATAATAATTTACAACCACTCTCTAAAAAGGTTCCGGAATAATCCCGATTTCCACGCCGTTACCAATTTTTATGAAATATCAGAATATGTAAAAAGTTTTTAGTAAAACACAGTTTAGAAAAATTTAGAAAAAAAATAGTTGACTACAAATTCAAAGTACTATTTTTGTTGTAGGCAAGACTTAACATATGTAAAAGCGTATCACCCTGTAGATAAAGGATTTAACGTAACAAACGCATCGCTACGAACTTTGTGACGCGTTAGCACCATGGACTTCAATTCTATTGACGTCAGAAATACAAGTTGATAAGAATAAGATGGTTCAAGAACCCTAAATGTTCGAATAAATAATACGATCAACATAATAAGCTATTTATTACATATAGAGTCATACATAGAGTCAAAATTGATTTTTTGGTTTATTTACGACAAATATCGATTATTTATCCAGACTTTCCGATCAATTAATTTACTTCTTTATCGTAATATTTATGTGTGGTATTTATCAATTCAGCAGGAAACGGCGTACTATCAAAAACGAATTCAATCACAACATTGATTGCTTAACTACTAATGCGTTATTTTCATTTGTTTGGGTACGCCGGCACATGTATTTCAGGCGTAAATATTCTGAATGGTTTCGCATGACATTTTAGATAAACGCTACTCTCATGCTGAAGGTCATAACCCTGGTGTGTCAATTTTTAAAATACCCATTTTAGAAAAACTAAAACTCACATCTAATTCAGTATGAATAAGACACCAAAAGGTATGTAAATATTTTGATAAACTAAGTTGCAATAAAGCGCATGGGCAACAGTATATCTAGTAATATCTTCCTTCTTTGACTTAAGAAGCAAGCTATTAACGTAGTTGTGAAAATATTTCGGGATCAT